TAAGACTTTTCTCAATGTATTTGCCTGCTTGTATATTGAGAGTTCTTCACACACATTTACCTATCTCTGTATCTCTATCCATTTATCTGTATAGTTTAGTCCTAAAGGTAATATTATTGCCTTTAGTAATAGCAAAGGTAAATTGTTGCCATTGCAACTAGGATCTCTTCATACAGCATAGATTCTCACTTGTTCTCGTTAGGTAGGAAAGTTGTTGATTTTTGTCTGTTTATTTAATACCTGGCCATCCTACCGAATTTCCTATTTCCTTTAATTTTCTACTTAATTTCTTTAGATATTCCAGGTCTGCAATTACCGTTTACAAGTAAATTTTTGTCTTCTCCTTCCCAGCGTCATTCCTTTTCTTTAGTTCTTTGTGATTTGTATTATCTAGTGATTTCTAAGCATGTTGACCATCCGAACCATGGGGTTGGGACAAGGAATGTTCAAAATATAGGTGTCCAGGCTCCTTCTCTGCAGATTCCCGTTAATGGTTCTGGGACAGGCACTGGGAATTTGTATTTTAGAAATTTCTCCGCGATCTGTTCAGCGGGTTTCTTACGTTTTTTCTGGAAGCCTACCCAGATGATGTTAAACTGGCCTGCCGGAGAAAGTAGGCCATGGTGCGACAAAAAACTCAATTTGAAATCCTGTTTCTAAAAGGTAAACATTTTGAGGAGGTCTTTGAGGGTGGGCCCATGCTTTCTGCCTCCCTCTTCATTATCCTTAGAGTATGGCTGCTACATGCATGGTTTCTGGCTAGTAAACTGATGGGAATAAAGTAATGCTGCTTTGTTTTCATAAATGGTGTCTGGGACGTGGTCCGTATTTAAGAGTTGTGTTTTACTTGCTGATCTTTTTTTTTTTTTTTTTTTTTTTTTTTTTTTTTTTTTTTTTTTTTTTTTTGGTCCTGCTGTTTATATAGTTGAGCTGTTCTAACTAACATCATCTCTAATGGGGCATACCAGTCCAGCACTGGATTGTCCTAGGAGGGAGTTTTAGAATGAGCACTTGCTAGTTTACACGTACTGGGTTCTAGATAATAGGTTCTCGCTGAAGTTTGGTATGAGCCCGGCTTGATGAAAATTTTATTAACATTTGAAATTTGAATGTTTCTTTAAAAAAATCTTGGTAGACATTGGTTACATTGTGGTTATTCAAAGAAACTAAACCTCAAGTGTGTTTGATGCTGTATAAGGGGTAGCACAGAAAAACTAAAGGCATTAAGTTACCATAAGTGATCTGAATGGTTTGTACTTTTGCCTTTGTTTTTAATGGTTTCGGTTTTGGTAGGAGGGTAAGGGAGGATCTCATAGTAATTTATTTATACATAAGAATATTAATATGTGTTAAAATTTTTTTTTGATGTTTATTTGAGAGAGAGAGAGAGAGAGAGAGAGAGAGACACGAGTGGGGAGGGGCAGAGAGAGAGGGAGGCACAGAATCGAAAGCAGGCTCCAGGCTCTGAGCTGTCAGCACAGAGCTTGATGCAGGCCTCAAACCCACGAACCGTGAGATCATGATCTGAGCTGAAGTCGGACGCTCAACCAACTGAGCCACCCAGGCGCCCCTGATTATTAGTATATCTTAATGTTAGTTTGCCTCAGTCATGAAAATCGTCATTCGCTTACTGTTACCGATGCTGCGTTACCTGCGTGACTCCATGACAGAGGCCTCCCTTGAGGGCCGTGCTGTCTGAGAGACCACGGTGGCCTCAGGGTCTCCGCATACCCACAGCTGCTGTCGAGGGGCACGTGCTGGTGGCATCATCAGTATTCAGTTGAATTTTGGTCTAAACGTGCACCAGCCCATCTCTGCAGCCTGACCTTTTGCTTCTCGGGGCCATGGCTCACGATTTCAGGGTACAAGACACAATTGTGGAAGGATGTCTTCTATCTGCTGGGTTTACCATTTGTGCATTTTATTTCCACCACAACGCAAAGTGGGGTGTCTGTGTTGTAGAGTTACGTACGGCAGAGGGACTGAACGAGGCCACAGAACATGCTGTGTGCGTTTTCTGAACTTTTCAAAACTTTCAAGTTAGCAAATATTTCAAACACACAGAAAAATAACAGTCAAAAAACTTACTATTATTTTTTAATGTTTACTTGTTTTTGAGAGAGAGCGAGAGAGAGAGAGAAGCTGAGTGAGCAGGGGAGGGGCAGAGAGAGAGGGAGACACAATCTGAAGCAGGCTCCAGGATCCAAGCTGTTCGTACCATGCAGGCACTCCCCCACCCCCCTCAAAAATATAACTTCTATAGGTAGCACTGTTCTAGGGCTTTCTCTGCTTCCTTATTTCTATATAAAACTCACTAAGCCTAGGAAACAGGTTGTATTACTATGCCCATTTTACAGATGGAGAAACTGAGATACAGATAGGTAGAGCAACGTGCCCAAAGTCACACATTTGGCAAATAACAGAGCTGGGACTTGAATCCAAGCAGTCTGGTGCCAGAGTGCATGGTCTTGACCAATACAATGCACTCTGTTGACTTTCAGAAATACAAAATATAATGGAACAGATAGAAATGATACTTTCACCTCATTTTAATAAAGGTTAACATTTCACTGTGTATGTTGTTTGTTTGTTTGTCTTAACTTCATCACACAAACAAGTGTTTTCTCACGTGTAGATGACAGATTGTGCTTAGACCATGGCCCTGGTCTTTATGTGGCCCATCACATTGTGTTTCTGACCTTCAGCACCCCCCTTTCTAACACTGCCCCTTTCCCCCACAGTTTGGCAGTAAATCCCTTTCCTTACAAGGGTAAGAACTCATTCAGCAGATATTTATGGGGTGCCTGCCACATGCTAGGCACTGTGCTGGGGGTGGAGGTACAGTCAAGAAAAAGAACTGCGTTCTGTCATCATACAAGCTATAATCTCACCACGCGGGCAGGCAGATAATCTGAGTGCAAGCTGCATAATTTTGGGGGGATGGGTGAGTGATGTGGCCTTTAAAAAAAACCACAGTCTTAAATTTGAGGGTTTTAGTGATTTCTGACCTGCTTGTTAGGTTTCTTTAGCCTTGGGTCAGCAATTCAGTTCATTTGTATTTATTGTCTGGAATATACTTCCAGAATGATGGTCGAATTGGGAATTTTGAAGTTCAGTATATGTTGCTTTCCTTCTGGAAAGTCCCCAGGTCTGGGTCAGCTTTGAAACCTTGCTCTGGGTCTGGTGAGCCCTACAGTGGGGTCCACTTGGTTTGTGCGTCTGGTAATTTGTGGAACCTGGAGGGCCCACAGATGGCTCCCAGAAACTTCTGGCATGGCCTGATGGTTTTCAGAGCCCAGCCTCACCCAAGTTCCTGTGGCACCAAGAACTTGGAGACTGAGCAGTAAGGCGTGATTTAAATGGAGCGAACTTGCCGTTTTGGGCTCCCCACGCCTTATTCATTCACTATGTGTTCAAAAATAGTGAAATTAGCATATGGTAAAAATACATTTACAAATCATAAAATTAATTTATTAGAATTTGGAATGTAGTACCACATCAAAAAATTTTAGTATCAAGCATCTTGAAATAATTTATAAAAATGGAATGAATTAACAAAGTGACTTTCAACACTGCTGGGAAGTGTTTTTCTTCATTATGAGCGTTACTGCGGGATGATGGCTCAGTTGTCCAGACTTTACTGTTCATTACAGTCGGCTAATAAGGAAGGAAGGGCTCATGAGTCTTTTCGATTTTCAGTTTTTTATTTCCAGCAGATGGTTCTCCGTGGTGGTCCCCCCCTGCCACTTTTTTAAAAAAAATTTTTTTTTTTTTATTTAAGGGATTAGCAAATGCTTTTGGAACAGATAGTAGTATTTTGGCATTTGTTTTAGTTAAGACTTTTGGAACCCATCACACAGAGTATCTTGACAGAAAATGGGCTCGTTCTGAAATGAGATGAAAAAGAGATGCTCCTGTCAGATATTCTCAGGAGGTGGCAGTGGCTGTTTCTAGACATATGCCATGACATTTTAAGAAAATTATATAATCATTTTTTAAGTGCGCCCTCCCCCCCCCCTCAAAAGTTCATGAAGTTTGAGAAGTAAGTGTGCTTCTCTGAGAGCCAGCTCTGGAGTTTAGCCTGCTCATTCAGATTCGGGTTCTTTCTCTGTTCACCAGCTGCTTGGCTCGGGGCAGCCGAACGAACATCCCAATGCCTCAGTTTTCTCATCTGCAAAATAGGGACAAGGGCTACTACTCCCTTTGCAGGACTTTTGTGAAAAGGAAAAGAGTGTAAAAGCACGTTTAAAGCCGTGAGGGACACACAAATGTATGTGTTAATGCATGTGTGCAAAATTTTTTGCCAGTAGAAAGAAGCTTCACATTTTATGTTTTAATAACAGCTCGCTTATCTGAAATTAGTGTTTGATTCTCAGTCATCATAAGCTTTTTTTTTTTTTTTTTTCCAAGTGAATATTTTGAGGCTTGATGTTGTAGGACTTGGAGAGCTTATGATAAAAGACACTAATGGGATCCAGAGGACAGTATTATTATCTAAACCTGTGTTGATGACTTTGTGCTTTTAGGTATACCAAGCTTGGCTACGCAGGCAACACTGAGCCACAGTTCATTATTCCTTCATGTAAGTACAGCCCCACCCTCAACGTGTGTGAAGGACCGGGGTTCTCGGCATTGTGATTCTGTTTTCCAAAGCATATTCATTGACTTGCCATCTGCTTTTAGAAGATTGTCCTGGTTACTGGGGAGGGTTATTGATTTTGAAACCGAGTCCTGAATATTGCTATAGACCGTAGCTGTGGCCTAAAATCCCCCAACTTTCTGGCCCTTTGGTCCTCTTCTGAGAAGGCCCCTTGTCACCATCGTTGGAGTTTCAGCCTGGGTGGTTGGCTGGGGCTTTTCCTTCAGTCATAAATGTCTGAGCTGCCTTGAAGAAATCTGGTCCTTTAAGGTTCATTTGTAATTTTAAGTAAGTACAGTTTTATTAACTTAGCGACTCCGTGGACTGAGCCTCCATTGTGCTGCACTGTTCGCTCTATTGAATGCCCTTTAAAAAAAACCCCAAAAACACGAGAGGCCTGATGACTGTTTTATTGTGTTCAGAGTGTCTGCTTTTGTTTAAATTTTGGTCAGTAGAGAGTGATGGACATAAAAGAAGAAATGTTCTCATATCTTGGCAAGAGTACGTCCTACCCACTCTTTGTTTCCCACAGGAGCCTCCAAGGTCAGGTCAGTTGTTTTTAGGGTAGAATTTTTCTCTGAAATTGTTTAAATTCCGGGTTATTATTTGGAGACCATTTACCAGACTAACTTGTATCAGTCCAGGGGGAAGGGAAACACTGCCTCCTAAGTGTAGATCTTGTGCGATGAATTGTGATCTTAGAAGTTGTAAGGTGGTGCGGGGCCAGGGACCCAGTGAGGGTAGGCCCTTGTCAGCAGTATGGAACATTATGGAACATGGACAGCTTAGGAGGCTTGGGGAGAGGAGGCTTAGCGTTTATTCCAGGGAAGGCGCAGGCCTTTTTGGTGTATAGGGGTACTCACCTCACTAGGAAGTGTACCCCAGATTCCTCAAGCACATGTTATTTACCTCATTCTCCTTCCTTCCTTGCTTGCTGTATAATCACGAATCTGATTTCTAGGTCTGAACACCCTGGTACCATGGCGGGGTGTCCTTAATAACAGGCACAACTTGTCTGCTGTGTTCTTTATTTAGGATTCATAATTTGGTGTATTAGTTTGCTGGGGGCTGCCGTTATAAAATACCACAGAGTGATGTCTTAAATAACAGAAATGTATTTGATCCCAGAATGGAGGCTCGGAGTCCCAGATCAAGGGGCCATCAGGACTGGTTCACAGTGAGGCCTCCTTCCCTGGTTTTCAGACAGCACCTCCTCACTGTGTCCCCACATGGCCTTTTCTCTGCACACAACCGAAAGAGAGATCTGCTCTGTGGTCTCTTCCTCTTCTTATGAGGACAACAGTTCTCTTCGATTAAGTCCCACCTTACGACCTCATTTAACTTTTATTACCTCCTTACGGTCCCCACGTCCGAACGCAGTCACACAGGGGGCAAGGGCTTCAACATATGAATTTTTAGGAGACGTAATCAGGTCCATCACGTCTGGTGCTTTGTAGGCTAGGTCAGTCCTTTGAGAATTTTATTATTGCGAATGCCCCGGAACTTGATCGTTCCATGTTGGATTGATAAATCGGACGTTCTGACTTTTCAGTGCAGATTGGATTTTAACCTTGCTAAGTGCCACGGCTCTGAAAGGCTGACCTTGCACCTCCTGCTTTAATGTGTTGCCGTTTCAAACTGCCAGCAGCGTTCAGCCGGCCGGCCCGTTCAACCCGTCATCATCAACAGGGAGGAGAACTGAAGTCAGTTATTAGCGGGATTTCATTCGCCGCCGACAGCAAGGCGGCTCTCAGATTGGTGCTTTCAGACCCTTCACAGTAGCAGAAGCTAGAAAGAGCATAGAAAGTCGGAGAAGCGGGAGGAAAGCCACAGCTATATCGTCGGCTGAGTCCGTTGCAAGGGATGGAGAAGCCCCGGGAGGCGGGGTGACAAGATTTGGGGTCCCGGTGAAGATGCTGGGTTGGGTGGAGGGCCTCGGTCGCCCGGGCTGTCGGCTTTCCTGCTCGTCTTCGTTCCGGTAGCCGAATCATTATTCCGGCTCTAGAGGCTCCGCCCACAAGGTGAAGTTCGAGACGCACGTGCGCCGAAGTGGCACCCGCAGAGAAGAGGTGGGGCTCGTGCGGATGTGCGTCAGCTCGTCGACGACGCTGGCGGACACGGGCGGGGCCCGCTGGGTGGGCGAGGCGCGTGCGGGCCCTCGTCGTGCCGGAGGTCACGGCCCTCGGCAGACAGTGGCCGGGAACGTGGCCGGGAACGTGGGGGAGGGCCAGATGGCGACGGACTCTGTTCTCTCGAGGGATTTTACTTTTATCTCGCACCCGGGAATTTCCACGTTGTTCCCGGAAGGGCTCCCTCAGGCCTGAGCCAGCGGACGGGCGAGGTGCCGCGCGCCCCGTCCGGCTCTTCCCGGCTCTGCCCGGGCGGCTCTGCCCGTGTCCGGCGTGCGCTTCTGGGCGGCGTGTTCAGGATTGTTCGAGTGGAGGGTTTCCCGGCCTTTTTTTGGTCTTTAAGTTGTCGGAGTATATTGAGAGTCATTGAAAAGTTTCCGGCAGAGGAGTGAGGACGTGTGTGGTGATCGTGTCCGTGGAAGGCGCACGAGGGAGGTGCGGGGAGGGGTCGGGAGAAAGTTAGGACGTGTCAGACCTTCGGCGTCGGAGGAGTTCGGTGTGAAGGTCCCGTTGGCATCAGGTGAAAGGCTTCATGCTCGGAGGAGCGTCTCCACGGGAGGTGGGGACTGAGCCCAGAGGTGTTTTTGGGTTTTCTTTTAATGGAATAGTTACAAGAAAGTTTTTGGAGGTTTATTTATTTTTGAGAGAGAGAGAGAGACAGAGAGAGTGAGCTGGGGAGGGGCAGAGAGAGAGGGAGAGAGAGAGAATCCCCAGCAGGCTCCGTGTTGTGAGCGCAGAGTTGGATGTGGGCCTCGAACTCACGAACCGTGAGAGAATGACCTGAGCCGAAATCAAGAGTCGGATGGACGCGTAACCGACTGAGCCACCCAGGCGCCCCTATTGCATAGAGTTTTTAAAAAATTTTTATTTCAGCTAAAAACGGTTGCAGAAGATAATGTAGCACAGACCTGTGTACCCACCCACCACTCAGAATGAACACACGCTGACATGATGTCATCCTGTAAATCTGTAAACCCATGCATCAGAGTGGGCAAGGTCCTCCCTTTTCCTCCAGCCCATTCCCCTCTCTTGCTCTCCCTCCTCTGCCGGGAACTTCCTGTGGCCAGTGTGTTCTCTCCTGACCTTATGGGAACAGGGTTCCTTAACTGTATGTGGCCTTGTTCTGCCGGTTTAGACCTTTCTAAATGATACCATACTGTAAATCACTTTCAGCATTGTCCTTTTATAAAGAACCCTTCCTTTGAAATAGGTTTTTAAGATTTAGCAATGTTGATACATACAGTTCTTGATCAGAGTTCTAGCATTTGAATCTCAATTTTTTTTTCATTTGGGCATTTTCCAGTTTTCTCTGTTGTACAAAATGGTGCAGTAAACCTCTCCTTACGCACACGCGCTAGTTTCCCAAGAGAAAATGAGGAGAAATGGGGTTGTTTCATCGTGCAGGTGTGCACCTCTTCAGCTTCTCAGCTGTTGTCAGGCTGCTCTTCTGAGTGCTTGTGCTGAGTTAAGCTCCCGTAGGTGCTGGTAAAGGGTTTTTGTTTCCACACAGCCTTGACAAAAGTTGATGTCGGTAGACTTAAATTTTCGCCAGTCTGACGAATGTGAAACGATGCATCATTTTATAAATTTGCATTTCTCTGATGACTAGTAAGGTTGGGCACCTTTCATTGCCTGTTCGTATCTTTGCCCATTTTTTCTATTGCATATTTTTTTAAATCTTTTTTACGGAGTTTTATGGAGTTGTCTTTGTATACTCTGAATATTAATATGTTGCAAATATTGTCTTCTATTTTATGGCATCTTTTTAAATGATTTTTTAAATCTAGACACGTAAAATTTTGATATAGTTAAAATATTCAGTATGCATTTTCCATTTATAATTTGTTTCTATCTTGAAAAATGCATTTCTACTCCAAAGTCATAAGGACTTTCTGCATTTTCTTCTGTGACAATTTTGAGTTTACTTTTTGAATATGGTGTGAGATAGTTATTTTACTTATTTTCTGAGTGGAAGGACACTTGTCCCAGCACCATTTATTGAAGAGTACATTCCAATTTGTTATGCCTTTTAAATCATATTGAGGTACCATATATGCTTGGGAATATTTCTGGTGTTTTTATTTGGTTTCATTTATGCATTTGTTTATCTTCACTCCAAATTCATGCTGTCTTAAATGTTATTACTTCAGCCAGTGTCTTGATATCTGGTAGGTGTGGTTCCTCTTCCCTTTTTTCTCAGAATAACCTCAGCTATTCTTAGGCCTTACTTTTTATTACAGATTTTATTTTATTTTATTAAAAAAATGTTTATTTATTTATTTTGAGAGAGAGAGAGAGAGATTGTGACCTGAGCTGAAATCAAGAGTAGGACGCTTAACTGACGGAGCCACCCAGGTGCCCCTTTGCTACAGATTTTAAAATTAGTTAAGGTCTGTGAAAAATTGTAATGGGGTTTTGATTAGAGACACGTTCAGTTTATAGATTAATTGGGGAAGAATTTGACATCTTTATGAATTGAGTTTTTCTATCCATGAATATGGTATATATGATCTTTATTAATGGCTTTTGTGTTTTTCAGTAATGTTTTTGTAATAGACTTCATAAAGCTCATACACCTTTTACTAGATTTAACTGTAGGTACCCTTATGTGTTTGTTGCTTTTGTGAATTTTCTGAAATTACATTTTCTAACTAGTAATTGCTAGCATGTAGAAATGCTATTGAGTTTTTTGTTTTTTAATCCAGCAACCTTACTTGCTTCTCTTATTTGTTCTATTAGCTTGCAGATTCTTGTAAGTTTTCTATTCAGACTATTAACTGCAAGTAATGGTTGTCCCTTTCAATCTCAATATTATATATATATTTTTTTTGGTCTTTTGTACCGGCTAGAACTTCTCCTGCCGGAGTGACTAGAGCTGGAGGTAGTGGGTGCTTTTGTTAGTCTGATTTTAAAGACAGTGATTTTAGTGTGCCACTAGTCATTGGTCTTGGTTTTTGTGGAAATGCTTTTTTCAGGTTAATACAGTGCCCTTTCTATTTCTAGTTTACTGAGAGCTGATCATATGGTTTTGGACAGTTAAGGTCCTATAATACGATGAATTACATTAATATATTTTCAAGTATTAAACAGTCATTTATTTCATTCTTGAGATAAACCCTCCTTGGTTATGAAATACCAACTACATGTTGAATTGTATTTGCAAATATTTATTTGGGTTTTTGCATCAGTGTTTAAAAGTGCGATTACTCTATAATTTATCTTTCGTGTACATTTTTGTCTGGTTTGAATATCAAAATTAGACTGGCTTTTGGAGATGAGTTTTTCAGCTTTCTTTTCTGTTCTTTAGAACAGTAAGTAAGATAGGAATTATTATTTCTTGAAGGTTTCATCAAATATATGACATTCTTTTGGGAAATATACTGGATGTATTAATTAAGAAATTACTGTTGTCTGGTAAT